CAAAAATAAATATAATTAATGACAGATGAGTATATTGAGCGGTAAAAAGGAGACGTGTGCAGCAATGCTGCATAAGCCTGATGTTGGGTTAGTATGGTTCTCATATTTATAGACTATTTTATAGTATTTAGAGTTTTTGGTTATTTTGAAATGTTTTTAAATATATGTTCATATTGGAGTGGAGTAGCTTTTTCACAAAATCTATTTTTTTATCCGCACTAAAGATTGTTTTATGTATAATGATTACTTTTGTAAAGTTGAAAGGAATGCATCGCTCACCATAGACTGTTACTAGCTAAACGTTATGTTCTATTTTCATTGGTAAACTAATTCCTCGCCTTTTCTCTATTTCAATTGGGTAATTATTGATATTCAAGCAATGTTTTAGCGAGGCAAGATACTAATTATTATTGCTGGTCAATTTTTGGTCAATCTCAACCTTCGGCCTTTCAGTTAAACTTATTAACTTAGAGAAAAATTTTGTTCCAGGTTAATTCTTTAAAAAAATATGATGCCCTGGTTTCAACAAAATCGGCTACAATTAATTTCGATCTGATTGATTTGTAAAAGCTATTTATGGTAACTATTTTATAGGATATGTAGTAACTCCATAACCTGATAAAATGTCAATAGAATATATGAGTTATAATTAATCCTCAGAAATAAGTTATGCCATCCTTACTTATTCTTATCTCATTGAGGAACAATTGTCTTTATTATAAATAGCTGAGTAAATTTACTCAGAGTGGAATGTGCTGATTTCATCAGCAAGCATTCACCAATTCCATCGTAATGGTTTTCACCGGCGCTCCGTATTAAATATTGCATCTTTTATGCGCATATTTCACAACAATTCCTGCCATTCAGAGAGTCTCCAGTTCGATAGGCTACGCAATAACAAACCTTTCGATCGCTCCTTATGTCTTTTGAATATATCGCTAAAATTGTGATTTTTGTAGAACTATTTCGCTTTTCGCATGTGAAAGCTCGTCTTCGATATCCTACAGATTGTAGGATATCATTTTTAACAACACAACATTAATGAAATTATTTTCATTTTCGTCAAATGAACTGCATAGAGTTTATAAATTTGCTACTTACTCTCACCCTGAGTTTTAGTCCACAACGAACAATCAATTGTCCTCCACACTATATCATTCAGTTATTTCCCATTCTTGAAAATATACAGACAGCGCCACTCCATGCACTGCCGCTATTACGTTTTAATTTTTTAATTGCTATTACGTAAAGCATCAATATTACGGACGTCATTAAGAAGCGTGGACCTCTTATCTGCCCTAACAATGCAATGCAGCTTACGACAGCACTTTATATCTCGTCCCTCTCTTATGTGTCCCTCACGATCGCCTGGAACTAGAACTAACACAAGTCACTAACGCCTGTCACCAACACAAGTCACTAACGCCTGTCACCAACGCAAGTCACTAACGCCTTTCACCGACGCAAGTCACTAACGCCTGACACAAGTCACTAACGCCTGTCACCGACGCAAGTAACTAACGCCTGTCACCGACGCAAGTCACTAACGCCTGTCACTAACACAAGTCACTAACGCCTGTCACAACACAAGTCATTAACGCCTGTCACCAACACAAGTCACTAACGCCTGTCACCGACGCAAGTCACTAACGCCTGTCACCAACACAAGTCATTAACGCCTGTCACCAACACAAGTCACTAACGCCTGTCACCAACACAAGTCACTAACGCCTGTCACCAACACAAGTCACTAACGCCTGTCACCAACACAAGTCACTAACGCCTGTCACCGACGCAAGTAACTAACGCCTGTCACCGACGCAAGTCACTAACGCCTGTCACTAACACAAGTCACTAACGCCTGTCACTAACGCACGTCACTAACGCTTAATTGTCATTAACGCCTGTCACTAAACGCAAGTCACTAACGCGCCATTCAACCTTCACCCGACTCAATCATCTCAGCTGTCGATCAATGAACCTTCAATGGAAATTCTGCCCAGTTTCCTTCCAGGTTTCTGCTGGGCTGAACTCTGGATTTTGCCAACTTCTTTCATGAAAATGACGCAGTACAGGGTTATTCATGGAAACTTCCTGATTTGAAAGCTCGATAAAAAAGGACTAGTTACGGTATTATTACAATTTTGATTATATTAAAAAATAAATTATATGACTTTTTTGTATCATTTTGTTTTAAAGACATCGGACAAATAACGACCCCATTGACAATGCATTCAGTTAGTCGATGTATGAAGTTCCGTTCAACTCGCTGAAGCATATTGACGAGTATGTTGGCGATGGATTGGCGTATGTTGTTCTTCAAATAAGGTAGCTAGGGTCCTTGGACAGTTGTTGTAAACAATTGATTTAAGATAAACCAATAAAAAAGCACATGGAGCCAATTCGGGAATCGGGCCGGCCAAAGAAGGCCCCTAATTGAAGGAGATGAGGCGATCTGCAAAATGTTGTCTCATGGCGCTGTGTGGGCCGTGGCTCCATCCTCTTGGAGCAGACATCCCTGACATTCATTTCAGCCAGTTTTGGCAAAAAAGGCGTCAATCATTTGCGTGAACCGAGCTGCAGTCACCGTTAAACTGCCCGTTTATTTTCCTCAGAGAAATAAGGGCTAATTAGGCCGACTTTTGCCGCCGCACACCACCCAGTTACGCGTTCACAATGAAGTGGCGGCTGAGGGAGTTCACGTGTATTGTTATCACTACAATTACGCTTGTTTTGCTTGTTTACGCAAAACGACGGAAAGAAAGGACCAATAAGGAACCGAGTACGGAATGCTCGTTGAGTAGCTATAATGGAGCGGCAATTAGAAAAGTACGCCTCGACAGCAAACGCACGCTGCTCATTTCTCCAATGCACAGTGGCAACTGCCTAGGTGGGGCACAAAACTTCAAGCAAAACAAAAAGTTTTCGTGGCTCAGGCACTATTTTTCAATATTGAAGCTTAGCTTTTCCGCAAAAACCTGGTGAAAATCGTGAAGACCTACAAGCCATTTCTATTTATTTATGACGAGCAATCACTTCAGTCGGTATATTAGATTTAAAGTATTAATAAACATGTATCTTATTGTAAGTTGTTGCTGCCAACGTCTTACCTATGTAAATGCGTAACAACTTCTTAGCACATGCGTCGTGAGCTGTGGATACCAGGGGCCGTATTATCAAAAGTTCGTAAGAACGCAAAATCGACTTACGAGAGGCGTAAGTGCTGACTTGATGACGTAACTCTAGAGGTGGTATTATCAAAACAATGGCGCGGGAACCTACGTAACGTAACTGTACGCCTGCTCGGAGATGTCGTAAGTGGAGTTCCACTCAAGTTTAGAGTGTCTGCTGAAGCAAAAGGAAACTACTGATTTACTAGCATGTAGCAACACCGTGATTTGTGATAGAATTTTGTCAATAATCAGACAGCGCGGATTATACACACATAGAATGATGGCTCTACTTGTGATGGCTCCACTACTCGATCGTGCAACATTTGCACAATCAAAATATGTGATCGTGCTGAGCAGTGCTATTGGAAAAAAATTCAATTCATTTTTTCAAAATTTTTTTCATTAATTTTCAAAATTTCAATTAATTCATTCCTTCTAGTCGGTACTACTTTATATCTTTGCCAATCATAATTTTTAGCTCCGTACACAGATTTATTCATCAACTCACGCTGTTAATTAAAAAGAGTTCACAACTATTTTAGAACGGCTTTTTCTGGGCCAACAGGGAGCAATACCGACAGACAGCATTCGATAGTCGATACCATCGAAGGCATCGATTCCCGCCATCGAAGTTCACAGAATTTAAACAAATCCAAAGCCTCTGATTGGTCAGTTGGCCAGATGGTTTTGATAGTACGCTTTTAGCTAAGTCTTACGTACGAATGTTTTGATAATGCCAAAATTAGGGTATACTTACGTAACACGTAACTTTTTTGTCGGAAGTACAAAAAGTTACGAAGTTTTGATAATGCGGCCCCAGGTCCACGTACCTCCTGCCACGCCCCTGAGCAATCAAGTCCACACGAGGTCGTTAAGCCAATTATTTCCTTGTCACCCAACCATTGCGCAACTGCTGATCGTTTGCTAATTTCCATTCGCACATTAATCGGAGCATTCATGATGGTCGTCGGCGGCGTTTTCTGCAAGTCATAACCTTCGGTGCTCCATAGAATGTCTGGATTTTTTTTTTGTAAGCTGATCCTATACGTAGAGCGCGATTATTATTGCCGTACGCAGTTTGGGTCTCCAAAGCAAAAAATGGCACAGAAATAAATTTTAAAATCGGTATGCATAATCTCAGTGTCTATGAAACACTGCGGTCCAAAGGGTTCTAAAGCCGCCGGATTTTTATGGATATGTTATAGAAACCATAGGGTCTATGAAGTTCTAAGACAACAGGATCGTTAGGATAGGTTATAGCAGCCTGAAAGTCAATGGGGTTCTAAGACCTCAGGATTATTAGGATAGGTTATAGCAACCAAAGGGTCTATGGGGTTCTATAAGCCAAGCATGGTCGTTAGAAGTGTTTAGGAGGAAAAGGTTATCACAGTTATACTGTTAAGTTTAAGTGTTAAGGAACTTTTTTTTTTGAGTGGCATACCTTTGTTTCATTCATCGTTTTGCGTGAATAAGGCTACTTCCTATGTAGTTTTAATGAAAAGATGCAGGCTCTCTTAAATTTAACCAGTTGTATTGTTACTGCAGAGTTTCATATAAATATTTTTGCCGCCTTTATCTAAGATTGTTATTAAATTCACACTCTCGATTTAAACAAATTTCAACGCTAGATTATTTTAATAGACCCTAATGAAGATACCTGTCGTCATGCAAGTAGCCTGAGCTCGAAAGTTTGAATATTGTTGAGAGTGACATCCTGGTCTCTGCCATTGAAAAAGTGAAGGGATTTAATTGGGTGCTGCTGGCAGACTTCTGTTTAAAATTTGTTTTGCTTCTATCGCAACCTTGACGGTAAACCTGCTCCTCCAGGCAAACCTGCTCCTCCAGGTAAACCTGCTCCTCCAGGCAAACCTGCTCCTCCAGGCACACCTGCTTCCTCAGGCAAACCTGCTTCCTCAGGCAAACCTGCTCCCTCAGGCAAACCTGCTCCTCCAGGCAAACCTGCTCCTCCAGGCAAATCTGCTCCTCCAGGCAAACTTGCTCCTCCAGGCAAACCTGCTCCTCCAGGCAAACTTGCTCCTCCAGGCAAACCTGCTCCTCCAGGCAAACCTGCTCCTCCAGGCAAACCTGCTCCTCCAGGCAAACCTGCTCCTCCAGGCCTGTCTCTTATACACATCTAGATGTGTATAAGAGACAGGTCCAGTGCCAGTGCTGTGCTGTCCAGTGCTGGTGCTGTGCTGTCCAGTGCTGGTGCTGTGCTGTCCAGTGCTGGTGCTGTGCTGTCCAGTGCTGGTGCTGTGCTGTCCAGTGCTGTGCTGTCCAGTGCTGGTGCTGTGCTGTCCAGTGCTGGTGCTGTGCAGCAGCTTAAGGCGATGTGATGCATGACAATTGCAAGTCTGTACAGTCGCGTTGCTGGCATTTCCGATCTCAACCGCAAACCAGTTCTAGGCGATGAGTCTGAGACTTCTTTTTGGCGTCGAGCGAGTGATGTGTAGAAATACTCAGCGTGTGCTGTGTGGTAAGACACAGCGTGTGCTGTGTAGGAAGTGTATTGCATGCATGTGTACTAGCTTCATGCTCTGTAACCGCATCGTCAAATCACATCCAATAGTTGCCGAGTCTCTCTTATCCACCGCATATCTTCGTCCTTGAATCCTCCACACAGATGGGAGAGCACACACCACTGTGTTTATCTGGCTGTGTTCATCATAACGCTGTGTTTATCTGGCGCTAGGCGTTGCATAAACTGTTTGTTTAAGTTTACGTGTTCTCATTGGCAATACACGGCATGTGTTATGGCGTTAAGGCTGAGATACTGAAAAAGTCGTTATACCAGGTTATTGCAAGCCTAAGAAAAGTTAAATGTGATTTGGTTTCCGTGTGAGCTTATTTCTCCTTAGCTCAAACAATTGAGATGCAGTCTATCGGATGCACTTATCGATCAGTCTCATACCAAATTTACAAGAACTTTATTTACGAAAGTAAGTTAAGAGTCCATCTGAAAACTCTAAAAACTGTGCATTAATTCCAATCAAATATTTGTTTTATGATGTCACTATAGCAGAAACTTGGACAATGACTCTGCTTCTGTTATAAGGAAATAATTTCATGATATGGAATAACTCGATTATACTGTATCAGAGCCAACGGGCTTGAATTGTGAAATTCTGTGCTCGCAATAACGGAAATCTGCTTCCAGTTAACCTTGATCCGCATCGTGGGAATGACAAGTCTTCTCGCTTTTAGAGGTCAACGCCTCGCCTAAAACGCGGACGTGATGGGAATGTTAGTATAAAATCAGACAGCGCGCAAAGTTCCTCAGCTAAAGTGATGGTTTGTATACAAAAGTGACTCCGCGACCGAATGTTGGACTTAAAACATCAAGAGAGCAACTTCAACAAACTTGCCCAACGCCATCAGTGCTACGCTTAATTTGCTTACCGCATTTGCATCGTGCTTGCTTTCTGTGAGGCATTCTTAGAATTTGAATTCCCTCACAGTTTTTTCTGTCATTAGAAATTAATGCTGATTTTATTTATTTTATTTTGTCTATAATTGCCTGTTGAAGAATTATTGAAATATTAATATTTATTATATTATTCAATACCATTTATTATATTATTCAATATAATAAATAATTAATATTTATTATATGGAATTATTGTTAATTATGTGTTACTAATAGGAGTCTTATTTTAGTTGATGATTGATTAAATAGCAATTTATTATTTGGAACGACCTTGAACGCAGGTAGTTCACATTTGAGGCATTAGCAAGGAATAAAGTCGTTATGCAGTACGAGTTAATTTTAAAATAATCTTCATCAAAATTATTCATATAACTGCTATAAATAACTAAATATAATAACGGCTCCTAATTTGCATTTATTACAAATATCAATGCCTGAACTTGACTGTATTAAATTGACGATGTATGCGTTAGTTAACAACAAAGTGTGCACACCGCCCTCGAAAGTGGTCCCTGTTGGCACTCAACAAAATTAGCCTGTCAAGTTGTCCGAATAGTCACACATTTTTCCACCAAATGTACGAGCGGAGTGCGGACGTAGCTGAGCCAAACATGGTCAGGTTGTCAAGCACAAGGGTAAAAATTGCATCATAATGTGGACAAAACCTCACACATTTCTCCGCGTGCCAGGTCTCCTCCCAAGGAAGACGTCCGTCCCGCACATTCCTCGCATTCCTCAGCAATCACGTGGGGCCGCCCCGCGGGCCTCACAACCATATATATTTACCATACCGTACATTCCTCGGCAACCATATATATTTACCATACCGTACATTCCTCGGCAACCATATATATTTACCATACCGTACATTCCTCGGGCACCCTCTGCCGCAGCCCTCACTAGAGGGCTTTTTAAATATACATGTTTCCTGTTTTTTTTTAGTGCTTATCTTTTTTGTGGCGTGTTCTTTGCACCGGAAACTCCCTCATGCACTCAGTCTAAAGTCACCGCTGTTTTTTTCGATTTTTCCCGGCATTTTTAGAGTCCACTGCCCTAATGGCCGATGTTCTTCTATAGTGCCTCCTTCTAGAGTAAACTATCGAGGCTGAACTCTAGAATATAGTATATAGTATATATATGTGTATATATATAGAAAATATATATAGTATATAGTGTAGAAATAACTTAGTTCTCAGTTATCATTGATATCAAAAATTCCGAACAAGACTTCGATGATAGCCGTCGTATTTTTTCCTAACTTGTTCACAAGCGTTCGATCGGGAATGAAATAGGAATTGTTTCTGTAGAAGTAATATTACGTATTGAATACTGTTGAATAATATTGAATTGAATACTTTTTTAGCAATACTACACAATTGCTACGTAGCATTCAATTTTATCATATTCAAAAACTTTATCGATTATTAAGAACACCTCATAACTATGCATAATCACAAAAAAATATCACAAAGAACATAATCTTTACTTAACCTACACTCAGTTAAATACATAGATATGTTGTACTGTCCTAATAGTGACATTCTTTGTCATCCTAGCAACGATACGCCCTTTTCCGAGATAAACTTGGTCAGTATGACACGAAGACAAAAAACGCATCGATAATTGTACAAAGTCTTACTCATTTTTGTCAATGTTACGGGATTTTGGTTCCTGCGTGCTCGTCTAGCTTAATAATGCGGCCCACCAGGCATTGGACGTTGAAAAAACGTGGATTTAACGTTATAAGTAACGTTGACTGACGTAATAAGTAACGTTACTTCTACGTTATAAGTAACGTTACTTCTACTTTATAAATAATGTTCATTTTACGTTAAAAAACGTTAATTTAACGTTATAAATAACGTTGATTTAATGTTGATTTAGCGAAAGCAACTCGTAATTAACGTTGTTTCGACGCCAATAGGCTGCAGAACGACTGAACGGGGCGATTAATTACGACTAAGAAGATTAATAAAAGGATATGCAAGACAGGCATTTCTTTTTAATGAGCCAAAATCCTCCGGTTACATATACAAATTATATTATTATAGTAATTTTTAAAAAGCTACAGATACTCAAATGTCATCGAAATATTGGAGGGTATCTATTCTAAGTTGGCGCCATTTTTTTATGAAAAACGTATGAGGATTTCTTGTTATGCAGGTCAGAAAAGCCTGGATTCGATAAATCTCTAGAAGCATTTTTATTTTTATTTATTTATTTTTTTCATTGGCTTCAAGGGTTCATTGAATGTAGGTCAAGCCAATATAACTTACCTTATAACTTAACATTAAACAAACATAACGAGGCTGTGTTTGATTTTGTATTTCAATATCATCTGTAATATGTGATCTATGATAACGGGATTGGTTGGTTCTGAGGGGCATGTTATTATATTAAGATAAGTCTTCGTAATGAGCTAGAATTATATGGGCAACATCATGCATGTTGTTACCACAATCATTTGGACACTAGGAAAACCGCTCTGAGAGCGCCCTTCTAGTCCAATATATATGCCTTCAGCCAATCTCAGTGAAGAGCATTTGTTGTGATAAGCATTTTAATCAAGAATTTCAAATCGACAGGAAACAAGTCCAGCGGCTATCTCAATCAATCGTCAGCTATGGAAAGATCGGGTTCCAAAGGCCGGATCCCTTGTGAATCAAGTCACGAAAAGTTTAAGAATCGGCAACAGGCCATGGGACTATTTCTTCAGTGCCGACACTTCTATTCTATTCTATTCTAAATCACAGAGAACAGCAAGCAAGTTCAACATATCTTCGATGGAAACGCACTGGGGACGTGGTCCATGATCAGTTCATAAAATACAACGTTATAACGAACACAACGAAAGGCTGTCATCGAATATATGCGGAACATGCTTGCCGAGTTCTGTGATATAAAACTTTTGTTAAATTTGCGATTTAAGTAGACTAATAGTATACGTAAGTTGTATTTTCATAGCTGAAAAAATGTTCAGAGTTGTAGTTTAAACGAGTCGGGGTGTTAAACATTCTTAAGTATTAATATTTCCGTAAGTAATAAATAATAGTATATTTTTTTAATCTTCGGTATTACTGTTTATCCAATTTTAGCAGTTCTAATTTTATCCCTGCAATGTTCTGTTTCTGGGGCTGATATTTGTATCTCTGTTTCTTTTGCTTTAATCGCTAGTATCAGGACCACTTGTTGTGGCTGAGAATTAAATTGCCGTGCTTCCCGGCCCACAGCCGAGCCCTTTGTGTCTATGGAGCCGACGACCTCGGCGGTGCCTTCAAGCCATCAATTTCAGAGCTAAAAACAACCAACTGATTTTTTGGCTAAATGGCCAAATTCTAGGAGTATTTTAACCCATTTTTATTGCTGTCACAGAACAAGTTCCGGCAACACTCCGAGTAAATTTCAAGTTGAGATCTTCTATTTTGTTCTATTTTTCGTAAGTTTCCCCCGGAACTCACGCAATTCTTTTAATTTCAATCGCTAAACATTGTTTCTTTTTCCAATTCCTGGCACTAAATTCTTAATTCTAGCAGGCTTTGCTGTGCTATCTATTGCTGGACTTCGATGTTACGATTCGTCGTTTGGTGTGTAAGTTATACGTATGTATAGGTCCCTTCCCACAAAGCAAATTCCTTTGAAACAACGTTTAATTAACGTTGTTTGAATAAAACAACTTTAATACAACGTTGTTTGAACAAAAAAAGTTTAATT